TTTGAGTCGAAGTGAATGCATGCGCAAAAAATATAATTTTTCTGGAGTATGGGCAAAACAAAATTTCTTCTAGTGTATGTACAAAATAAACTGGAAATCGCCAATCATTTATTCGCAAATCGATTTAAAATATCTGAACATATCCAACAGTAAGAAATAACAGATCTGCAGACAAAACAGATATAGTCAGATGCGACAAAACTAAGAATCATTCAGTTCTAGTTTTTTTTAATGAGGAACTGAAAAACAAAGATTCAGCACGGTTCATATTGGACAAAAAATTGAGTTTTATGAGCAAAATTAATAAGCGTCTTAGTCAAATAGCTGTCGTAATTAAGGTCAATATAGATTTTACAGTATTAACTGCCGCTAAATGCGCGTGTTATTTTATTGAAAAAGATATGATTGAAAAAATATTGAAAGATGTCGAGATTTACTTTTTATCAAAACAACATGCTTCCTGCAGAATAATTAAAAACAAATATTTGTTAGCTAACATGTTTTGATATTTTCACTGAAAACTTTTGTCCTTAGTCTAAAAAAAATGAAAAAAACTCATGCCAAAACATCAAATGTCGCTTAAAAAATTTATCGAAAAGAGTGAGTACTGAAGAAGTATATAAAAACTTTCACTGATATTTTCACTGAAAACTTTTCTCCTTAGTCTGAAAAAAAAATGAAAATATTCATGCCAAAAAACATCAAATGTCGTTAACAAATTGATCGAAAAAAATGAGTACTAGAGAAGTATATGAAAACTACTAAATTTACCAGATATTTAAATATTCTAATATTGTTTAGACGCCAGCCTGGATTCACTAAGCCTTCTTCGTTGAATTGTCAACTTATATCAAAAAGCATGTAATCTTAACCTCCGTGTTATGTTAAAACAAATTTGCATGTTTGTCAAAAAAAAGTTGGACAGTTCTTACGGATTTCAGGGATTCAAACTAGCAATTGAGCCACTTCAAACATGTTCTATACAGAGGCGAAGCTGAGATTCGCACCACTTGCGATACAACATTTATGCAGGGCAATTGATTGTGAATAGGGCATCAGAAGAAAATTTACCAAGCAGTAACAAATCCGAAAATATCTTAGCAAAACCTTTTAGGCCGAAAAAAAATCAACTAGACTTAAGACTTAAAAAAAGTTAAGAAGTCCCCCTCCCCCTCAGCAAACACAAACAACAAACTCTCATTGCTCGTTAAAGGAACCACTATGATGCCACTAAGCCGATATAATAAAGGCCGAAACCAATTAAGTCGAAAAAGGAAAACAAAACAAAAACGCCGAAAAAAACTGTTGTCATGAAAAACTTGAACTGTAATTTTTATTAAGACTTGAGCAAAATTAGCAACCCAGATAAGAGCATAAAAATTACGTTTCACTTGAAACAACTCAAATTTAGGTCACTAAGCCGATAAAATTTAAGCCGAAATCATTCGGACAGAAAAAAAATATGCAAGTCAAGAAATTACAAAAAGCAGAAGTAAATCAAAACACAAAGAAATTACAAAGTAAAGTCCGCATTGCAAGAAAAACTAATTCTGCGAAGAGGCAACTAGGCCGACGAAACATAAACAGACAAATAATAACAAAGCTACCTTCGCGGACCCAAGCACCAAAAACGACAAAAAGAAACTTAAAATTCAAAAATAGCAGATTAAGACGAAAAAAATAGTTACAAAAAAATCACAACAGCGTAGGACTGAACTCGCCATGTGCGAGAAACACATATTTACAGTGCATTAGGCGAGCGAGACCGCTTTTAAACAGTAATTATCAGTCAGCACTGAGAGAGCTTTACTGAAGCAGATAAAAACATGCGTTTCAACATTGTTAACTAAATTGAACACAAAAATTGAAAACTGTGAAATCGCACTGACAAATTTGACATTAAAACCGATTTATGAAAACTGTATCAAAACTGATTTACGGTAGCCCATTTAGATATGTAAATCGATTTAGAATGAAATTAAATGAATTTTCCCGCAAAAAGATGATTTTATTGCCTAAAAACAATTTCAATCGATTTACATGGATTTTTTCGAGGCAGTGAAATCTATCAAAATCTAAACAAACTGATTAAATGTTTGTTTTTTTTTTGTTTCGAAAAACGTTTTATTTAAAACTTGAAGCAAATTTTGGTTTGAAACTCGAAAGACCTCCATCGACGCTCCAGAGAGCAAGAGTCACTCGAGGAAACCTTTTTAGCGCAATTTATTGTGATGAAGGGAATCCCTTTTGAAATTTGCAAATCTAAGGGCTACCGTGGTATAAATGATATTATGCAAAACTCCTCCAAGTGTCATTTTTTGTCAGGCGCAGTTTTAATAGGCAAAAAACATATAATTGAAAAACTCAATTTAGAACACTTCATTTTTGAGCAGAAAATTAACTGATTATTCATACATAGAGTTTCTTTTCAGACCAAACATCAACACGAACGTTAATTGAAAAGCATACGTTATAATTTTATTTCCAATTATCTCTATTCTTTCATAGCCGAGAAAATCTGATAACAATCTGTATAGAATTTGTATAAAAAAGTAAACGAAAAAATAGACAAAAACCAATTTTATTGTTACTCAAAAACTGTATGAGAAAAAAAAACGATTTTTTTTTCAAAAAAAAATTGTTTTAAATCGACTGAAAATTGATTGAAATTTGTTCTTAAAGCTACAATTTTGTACCAAACAGCATCGACTTTGAATCAATGAAAATCTGTATTTTAAGGTCTTTGCTACATTATCTGTACAAAATCGATTGCACTTCATTTCCTGTCAGTACGGGAATCTCAAGGAGCTTAATTTTAGACACAGAGTAAAATTTGCAAACTTTGACAAAACTAGATTTATCAAAATGAAAAAGCCTTGTTTCGAAACTTAAACATGCCTAGGTAAAAGAACGTAACAGTCGCATCGAAGGAAAACTTACAAAGCGGTAACAAAGCCAAAAACATCTTAGCAGAAACCTTTTGACCTGAAAAAAATTCTACAAAATTTATAAAATGTATGAAGCCCCCTCATTCTCAACACACACTCACAAAACCTTTATTCGCCCGTCAAATGAAACCATATGATGCCACTAAGCCGATGTAAAATAGACCGAAACTTATTAAGAAGAAAAAAAACTGAAATTTCAACAAATCGAGTTGGTAAAATTACAATCAAGATAAAAGGAAAACTTCGAAGTAGACACATATTTAAAAGTCCAACAAGCACAGCATATATCTGTACCGCTAAATTTGTAACTAATAGAGGCTTCCAGAAAATGATTCCGACTTAAAAGAGGCCGTTTAACAAAGTTATTCACGGAAAAAAGTCTACTACCCGATTGCAATACCCATGCTTATCGCAAGGGTAATCAGCTAAGAAAATGATTCTGAGAACCAGATTCAACGACTACCAGAACAACCTTTGGGCGTAAACAAACTGATTAGCATTGGGTAGGTATAGGAAGCATTGGGTAGACGCTAATTTAGCAGAAAACTCTGGTAGTCGCCATTTTAGCCGAAGACAAAATGCTGTCACAAACAATTTTGAGTAATGCTTAGTAATTCCAATTATTACGCCCCATCTTTGGTAAATCAGAATGGTAAAATTAGAAATTACAGATTGGTTTTCATTTATGATTAAAGTTACTTTAAATAGTAAAACATGACTGTTTTGAAGAAAATATACAGCACAATTGGTAAGTAAGCCCACAAAAAAACAAGACAAATGATAGTCCAATAATTCTAACTTTTTCAAAAAAAACAGCAATATCCGCACACTCGAAAAAATCAAGGTCTGATTGACACTCAAACCCTAGCCCTTAGGGTACGAAGAAACGTGTTTTACCCCTAGCCCATGTGACAATAGCCTGGGAGCTAATGAGGATCCATAACAAAGCAATGTCAATTTCTTGCAGATTTATACAGTTCTTTGCTCTAAAAAGTCTAGTTGCCAATTATAAGTCTTGCTCTCGCAAGTTGCAACATACGACCGAATTAGGTCAAAATTAAGTCTAATTACGATCACTTGGTTCATTCGCATTTAATTGGTTTTTAAAATTATGCATATATAGAACAACTAGATCCGAGAGTTTTTCATATCAAAAGGATACAAAATTGAGCAGTTTAAAATGTACAAGGTAAGGTCAACCTCTGGCAAAGCAATGTAGAAAGTCAGTGACAACACAGGTCCAGCTAAAACTAGTTCATTGGAATCAGAAAACTTTGTCACGGACCGAAACATCGTGTCAGGTCTTCCCAACTTATGAAGCACAAAACCACAGATGGCACTTGATTATGCAAGGACTGTCTCTAAATAGCAATGAAAACATTTGATATAAAATCTCAATTAAACGGAATACTAATTACATGATTAAAATTTCTGTAAATAAAATCATTTTGATGCAAATTAGAATTTCGAAATCAAACAAGAACCTGCAAAGACAAATCTACAAATGAGTATGCGACCGCAGGCCCCATTGAAAAGCGTCAATTAGTCAAACAAAAGAGTATATTTTCCCCAGGAAAAAGAAGACTTGTTGTCAAAAATCAGATAGAACTTGATTTCTGGACTAACTAAGGAGCAAAAAGAAACTCGATTCAAAACTAAAGTGATTCTCAGTTTATAGAAATTATTTCACAAAAATTGCAATACTTTTATGAGAGGAGCGCATAGAAGATGAAAGAAGGTCATTCATATGATGATACTGCATCTTTTCAGTCTTTGTTCAACCAGGGGCGGGAATGATTTTATAATTTCAAGGAAATCACGATAAAAATCAATTTAAATAATAGAAATTACTAACAAGACTGCTCGTATCAGGGCGACGCCCTGAATGTTCCGACTGCCTTTTAAGGTCTATGGAGCAGTAATAACATGAAAAATCAAAAGTAAGAAAAATAAAATAATTTTTTTAAATAAATTTGAGATTTTTGCGAAATTCATCCCCCCCTCCCCCCCCCCCCAAAGCCATATATAGTAGAAAAAGATAGATTTCGCTCCTAGTAACAAATCAATTATGGCAAATAAGCTACCTTCAACCAATTTGGAACGATTTCTAAGACGGATTAAATCTCCGCTTACGCGTTAATAGCGCGAAATATATCGCGCGTTAATTGTCCCCAAAGGGCCAAAATGACAATCTTTAAACCCCCACAACTTTGCGAAAAACTTTCGAAGAAAACGGAATCTTTACGTTGGGGGTGGTTTTTTTTATTCAGTCAATTCAGTCATACAATTGATCGAAAATTGATGTAAACCCCAATGAAGATATCGACATTGAAGATATCGATACTGAAGATATCGCCCCATTGAAGATAAAAATTCAAAAAATATTTTACCTCCGATCATTTTTGGCGAAGTTTTGAAAGTTTGAAAATTTGGCCATGCTCTGGTCTAATTTATGCGCACTTTGAAGACTTTATCCACAATCCTGAAAACGTAGCGCAATTTATTTATGCGTGGCGAAACATCCCGCAACAAAATCGTTCCAAATTGAATTGAGGCTAGCTTATCGACTCAAACTTTTACACTTGATCTTTGATTTTGTCCAAAAAGTATAGTTTTTCAATACTTTATTTTCCCAAAAACCTATTCGATATGGAATGAGGGTCAGTCGGAACATTCAATGCTTTGCCCTGATATACGAGCAGTCTTGTTACGACTTTCTGGTTATGAGTGCTTTCTGTGATTATTGACCACATAATCGATAAGGCAGAAACAAGGTTAAAAGTTTCAGCTTCTATTTTTCAAGTTACGCATATTCCCTAATTTGGCCCCTGGATGTTTTATCGAGTTTTTGAGAACAAATGCAAATTTTGCAGATAGATCACGTACAAAATAACGAAGTTTCGAAGCATCCACTATAAGGTAGTTGTGCACTAAATTGGTTTATGACATAAGGCTAGAGCTAGCTGTACTAAATAACGTATTAGGACTGGGTCGAGCAATTTGCACCGGTTATTGGGGAGGAAATTTCTGTGATCCAATCCAAAGCTGAGGGTTCATGGTTTGATGAGGGTAGAAAGAAGCAGCAGAGTGCCCAACTTCTTCAGATATTTGAGCTTCTTTGTTGCCCAGCCTTTTGCTCGTTTACAATCCTTCTTAGATCTGCTAAGATGTCTTCAGTGTTCAATTCCTGCTGTGATACAGATTGGCTGAAACAGAACTTTACGAGTCTATCTTTTTTTATCCAAAACAGAAAACGAAGTTTTAATGAAAAACTTATTACAATTCAAATACTTTAAAGCTTGTACGGAATTAAGATCAGTAATTAGTAAAGCAAGATTTGAGTGCAAGAAAATACACTGATCTTAACTTTTAGAGACAAACAATATATTTATAACTCAAGCAACTTACACCATATTGACTTATTTTTGACTCAAACCAACTGGCGAGCCTACCGCAGTTATAAATGCTTCTTAACAATCAGTTAACTTATAATTTAACAAGTTAAAAAGGTTCCAGAGAAAAATAAGAGTTATGTGCCTTAGCAGTACTAAAAAAAACATTTTAGGATGAATCGTTGAGAAACCCATAGGCCAAGCTAAGATTCACTTACGATGCAAAATAATATATGAAAGTTTTACGAAAACAAATTCACAAAAAACTGCTTGTTTGACACAACTTTAACTTTAAAAATTTCAACTCGAGCCAATCATTTAAGATCTAGAGAATTTATATAATTCCTTTTCAAAACAACTGCTACCTAATTTTTTTTCAAAAAAATCGTTCATTTCTAAAAGAAGTCTGTATTCATTGAGAAATGAACAAAAACAGAGTACGTAAATAATTTTTTTTGAAACCGTCGTCTAGCTCGAAAAAATTTCATTAATTAATTTACGAAACTAGAACATATCCAAAAAAGACTGTTTTCCATTTTCCCCAACATTTGAATTTCAGTTTGGAAAAATTATTTTTACGTTATCACAATGTAATGAAGTATTGTGAACAGATTTGTTCTTCATATCTTGCATCTTAACAACACGCAATCAGCCATAATAACACATGAGACAACTATGAACATGGAAAATTTGGAATGTGTGGAGGGGGGAGGAAAGTGGAAAAAAGCCCCAACAGACAGTTAGAAAAGAGTGAATGAACACATGGAAACAAAAAACTGTCTCAAAGTATAAAATATATGGCCTGAACCCTCTTTGAATTTCGAGACGAACTTATCATTGAAACTTTTTTGATAAACTCAACGCAACTTGAGAACAACTGATCAATAGGTAAAATTTTTATTCAGCTTGGAAATCTAAAAATTAAATTCTACTTTCGAAACTAGAAGTCAATCACGTTTTTTTTGCGCAATTTTCACTATGTTCATGTTTGGATAAAGCAAAATACCTAGTTTTTGGCGGATTCAAATTAAATTGAACTCAAAAAAGCATATATATCCAGGGTGACCACTTTTTTGTCGACTTTTTTTTAGGTCGACCAAATTAATTTTTCAAGCTCTGCCAAAGCACTAAAAAGTCCCCGCAGGCATTATTTTGAATAAACAGGCTGAAAAAGTCGTTTTTCGGCACTTTTTGAAAAATTTTGAAAAAAAAATTGCGTTTTTTCGGCGCGCGCTCACCCCTCAATATAAGTATATATTGGCGCCCAAGGCGCCTTTAGAAAAATTTTAGGGTCCGTCACCAAAAACCGTTGTAAATAGTGAGTTTTAGTGACCATTGAAAAAAAAGTGACCAATAGTGACTGGTCACTAAAATAGTGGCTAAGTGGTCACCCTGTTTATACCTAAACGCAATCATAAATCCTTTAATATGTATGAACGTACGTCTGTAGTTATTAGAGCATTTTTAAAAAATTTCTGTAAAAAAGCAAAAAAATATATCAAGACCTATATAAGAGCCTTCACTACGTTCATCGACTCTTAGAAGGGATAGAATGCGAGAAGAAAGGAGCGGAAATTTAACGCAAAACACAGGCAAAGCTCTGCTTCGCAAACACTATTTCGAACACGACAAAAATGCAGCTCTATAAAATTCAATAAGAAAAGGTAGCAATAAGCCTCCAGTTAGTAAAAATTCGGCTACGTTTCGGATTCGATCTTTCGAACAAGAGATTATGAGTCGCATGCACTAGCCACTAAGCGATATTCGCTTAAGATTACACAAACACTAGCCACAAATGAAGCTACAGATCGTGATTATGGCAGAAAGGCCACCAATTAAGTAAACAATTTTAAAGAACACTTTTACTTGCGAGTTAGGTTGAAAAAACCAAGCTTGGTAAAAATACACTACTCTGGCAAGCTGGCTAGTGTAACAAGAAAAAAAAGCATTGAAACGATAATCCAACAACTCCAGCAGTTTCCTCAGAAAAACATCAAATTGCAGATATTTAAAAAAAAAACAGATCCAACCAGCATTCCAATAGAAGACCAAAAGTTCCAAAAGCACTTGATTCTCAACCGATACTTTCAAGTTGAAATATAAAATAACTTACTTTTTTCAGATTGAGAAACATAACTCGACCGACAAGAAAAAATTGATCTAACGAGAAGGCTAACGCTGAGGGGATGAATAATTAAGTGAAAAAAAAAACTTGAAACGGAAATAGAAATCCCAAGCCAAGCAAAACTGGAAAAAAACTACCAACAACCAAAAACCTATGAAAGTAAGTTTACCCAGCTCCAAACTAAATTAAAGAACTGTGACATCACTACATGACGTCATGCATTCTTATGCTATATTAGATTACATAATTAGCCTTGTTAATGAAATGAAGTTCATACATTTATATTTATTTAACTATGTAAATATTGATGGTAATTAATACCAACGAGAGGAGATATATACCGAGCTACTAATCAATTGGGTAGACTTGAAGAGAATAAAATATTAGAATCATGCTCTAACTTGCGCCGATCGACTAGCGATATTCCAGAAGTTAAGAACCGAATCCTGCGTCCTTAAAAGCAAGATAAGTCTTAACCGCTCGAGACATATAAATTATGGAAACAATCAATAACAATCGATAGCCAGTAGCGCTAATTAATATTCGAACAGCTTACAACATTATCAATAAACGACGATATAGCTGTCCACAGCCATCCGAAGGGACACTATATCACATGGTGACTGTCGCGGAAGATTCTACTTCTGGATTCACCAAAAGTCATCGGCAATTGCAATTTTCACCACACGAGCGGACAACGACAACCTGACGTTGCTGAAACAGAACAGGGCAACACAACCCGTTTCACCCAGCAACGCTCAGATGTGGAAAGCAGAGCAACATTCAGCGAACAACTGAGACAGACAGGGAGAAAAAGAAGACAGCCTCAACTTCTCAACATCTCCGGGCTGAAAGTTTCTCCAATCTACAGAAGCAGATGTGGATTGTGACCTACAACATCACTACTTCTTGTTCCAGTCAGAAGGCAGGGCAGCTGAGCTACTGACAAGGCAGACAAAGAAAGCAAATCTACAGGTTTTTCAACAATCAACAAAAACAGTTAGTTAAAACAAAACTCGAAACTCAAACCTGCAGTAAATTGATATAATTATCATTAAGTTTCCCCACCATAGAAGTCAAGTAACGGAAACTTTAGCATTACCATATAATTGCATCAATAAATCTGATCAGTGATACTGCTAGCCTTCTTTAACAGCTAATTTATATAACAAACTCCCTAGTGTTCGCCCTAAATTGAATAAGTGCTGTATCTTATCATCAACTGTATCACCCTGATATTCATTCGACTGTATTACGATGGCACACGCGCAAGTTTCGGTCGAACCCTATGGAGGAACGGAAAAAGAAGACTTTTCAGAATTCGAGCAACTTTTTCAAGGCTACATCGGAGTAGCAGCGATACCAAACGCACAACAAGCGAACTTCTTGCAACTGCACCTACGAGACAACGCGCTGCGATTCTACCAGACACTAGGACCAGCAACTCGAGCGAACGTTCCCGCGAGTCTCATAGCCCTGAGGGATCACTTTTGCAACCCCCAACTTCAAGAAATCCACGTTTTGAATTTAGAACAACTGCGATTCAACCCGAAAACAGATACCCCAGAGAATTTCTTGGTCAACTTAACGAAAAAAGCGCAGCGAGCGTATCCGACACCAGATTTGCCAGCTGTCGCCCCAATTGATCCTGCAATAATTGGAGCACCTGCAGCAGCAGAAGCAGCACGATTCCACCGAGAAACTGCTCAAAGGCAAGAAAGGATAGATGCTGTACATGACAACCGAAATGAACAAATTAAACGACTGTTCATTAAGGGAATGCCAGGGTGGCTGAGATCAAAACTGATGGAACAACCACCTGCAACTACAGTTCAGGAACTGTGCAACCTGACCAAGAAGCAAATCACAATTCGTGAGATTTGCCGAAAAGACGATTACCCGGAAGACGGATTTAATGAAATAAACGACAAAGTCTCAGAAAAACTAATAAGCGCTATCACAAAAATGTCCACAAATCAGGAAAAAATGGAGAAGCAGCTTAACGAAATGAGATCACAAATAACTGAGCAGTCGAATAAACAATCGAATCCGCTCCCCGAACAAAATCGGAACAACAACAGTCAGAGTGATCAGTATAGTGGCTATCAGCCAAACCAAAATACTTGGTATGGACAACAACGAGGCAACAGAGGTGGAAGACGTAGAAATAATTGGCAAAATAAGTTTGATTTCAACAATACTCAGCCAAACTTTCACCATATGCCACCAGTTGCACAACAGCCATATTCGCAATTGTACCCTCAAAATCAGCAGTACCCAAACATGTACCAAAATCAACAGCCAATGGTTCAAATGCATCCATCAGCACAATTCCAACAGTCCCAAAATTACCCGACGCAACATTTTGTCGCAAATCAAATGCCTCAAGCTGAAACGCAAAATCCAAACGGACCTTTCGGACCAATGGTGCGATCATCAGCCAAATTTTGTGACGTTTGTGGAAAATTTAACCACACAGCAAGTCAATGCTGGTGGCGACAGAAACCACAAGGACGCGGACAAAACTTCCCGTTTCCAAACGAGCCAAAAAACTAATAAAGCCACTGAGTCAGCCCCCTAAATCATCGAAATCACCTAAATCATCACCTAACGAACTTTTCCAACCTGATGAGATACTTAGCCTTTACGCAATAATCCCTGCGGAAGGAACAGTACTGACGTACACGAA